CTTCTACAGCAGTGCCCAAGTGTGCGGGTACCGCATTGCCCCTTACCCAGCTTCTACAGCAGTGCCCAGAAGCTCCTTCCTTGCCCCAAAGGCGGGAGCAGGCAACATGTCTCACTTGAGAGCCAAGATCTTGTGTGAAGGCCCTGACATGGTTTTAAATGCACACTCCAGAGAGGCTGGAGGAAGTGTCCTGGGGGCAGTGTGGCCCTGGACCTTGGTCCCCAACTTGGGCTCCTCCCTCCTGGGCCAGTCCAGAGCCTTCCCCTGCATGGGGTGCCCAGGCCCCCAGATTCTAAGACAAAGGCTCCTCACACCTGCTCTCGCCCCTATGGCTTGTGGTCCAGCATCTGCAATGACAAGTTTTCCAAAAGGTGCTCTGTACAGAGCCAGGACTCCAGCTACCCCTACCTGGGTTCTGTCCTGGCTCCGAGGCCCCAGAGAGCAGGGAAGGAGTGGGTGCATCCTAAGCACCCGGGCACTGACTGGAGGGGCCCCCAGGTCTCACCCTCTGTGCTACCGCAAGGACCTCCATTTCCTGCCCGCTAAGTGGGCAGAGATGCCCAGTCATGTGTGTGCCCTGGAGGTGGGTAGGCACCAAGACTTGCTCCTGTGTCAGGCCCATGAGTCGGCAATGAAATTTGGTTCTGAGCATCCAATTTTGCCCAAGGGAAACCGTATTGCTGGAAGAATTTTTTTTAATAAGGAGGAAGAGAAAATCAACCAAGAGAATTTTCTCTAGAGGAACTCTTTCCCCATTCTGAGCTGAGGAGCAGGCCTCGAGCGGAGGTCCCACAAGCTCTTGGGAACAGAGGCTGTAGGTCCCAGGCTACAACTCTGCACCCCAGAACTCTGGCCTCATAATGCCAGCACCCCTAGATGGGACTCAGACCTTGCTGGCCAGGCAGCCTCAAGACCCCTCCCTGGGTCTGCAGTGAGCACCAGACTTAATCAGCGGCGACACTCAGGGTGACTGGGGAGCTTTCCTCTGGTCCACCTATATGATGCAGAGATGCCAGCTCCAAGGTGGTGCCTTTCCCACAGTGTGACGCCCTGGAAAGACCCTGACCCAGCTTGCAGGAAGGCAGGCACTTCCAGCTGGGACAGGGGTGCAGACGGAGGATAGAGGGATGGAGGCGCAGAGTGGGCTGGAAAAGGACCACTGCTGCTGCAGGAGAACATCGAATTTCTCCTCAATAAGATACAAAATACCGGCTTAAAGTGGCCGCCTGTGGCACCCTTGGTCCTCAGGCAGGGCTGGTCTCTAACAGCCCTGAGACAGCTGGGCGGGGCCCAGGCCTAGGTTAGGAGCCCCATTCTTGGGGGAGGGAAGGCTGGGAGGGACTGGTGGGCAAGTGTCCTTTCTGCTCCCAAGCCCTGCTTTGGGGCTGGGGCAGAAAAGTCCTTCCTGCCTGCCGCCCTGGATGAGGGCTCCGATCGTTTGTGCCTCAGGTAGCGCAACCTATCTCAGGGTCGGCGGGGATGGGGAGCAGCGGAGGGCAAGGGATCCCTGGAGCATGGCCCCGGCGAGGCCTGGGTTCAAGCCCCAATCCCTTCCTCTCACAGCAATGCAAAAGAAATCCCCTGCCAGAAACTGGCGCGCGCGTTCAGCTACAGGGGTTCAGCCAAGTCCCCCATCTGTCCTGCGCCTGTCAAAGGGTAGGTGCTCAGTATTTGTTAACGAAATGCTCAGATTGGGTTGCCAGCTGCATCTAAGAAACACATAAAATGAATGTTCTGCAGGAAATAGAGGGCTTGAGCCTCAGGCAGGTGCCCGCCTCGGGCTCAGATGCATTAGGTGCCTGATTTGGCGACAGGTACCCAGAGCTGGCCTAGAGTTTGGCCTTGGACTACTGATGGGAGGGTGCCGACACCTTGGCTTCTGTGGTCCTGCACTCCTGGGAGAGTCACAGGGACCCCCAAAACCCCAGGAACAAATACGGGATCTGAGGGTCAAGACCTGCCCTGCAGTCTCTGGAGGAGAGAGGTTTAAAGGGCTCCTCACCCGGCCCCCGGCTGTCAGGTTTAGCCCAAGGTTGAGCAAGCCCGGCTTTTCATCTACATTTCTATAGGAAAGTAAAGGACTCCTGGAGGACTGGAAGCTGCCTGCAGGTTCTGACCCTGCTCTGGGAATCCCTCCCCTTCGGGATTTCCTCATGAGGCAGAGAGCCGAGCTGGACTGAAAAAAAGACTGCCTTCGTGCCCCACGGGGTGGACCCGCAGCTTCTCGCTGGAACGGCAGACCTCCTCCAGTGGCAGCACACACCTGCGGCTTCTTGCTGCGCGGCTGCTGACCCCGGGAGGTCTGGGTGCCGCTGGGCTTTGCGTTCAGAGTCCTGAGCCCCCGAAGGCCAACCCAAACTCCAGACGACTCATCTTCCCTCCACTCTCACAGCTGGGGAAGCAGAGGCCCCCAGGGCTAGTAGCGCCTGTCTCTTAAATAAAGATGGTGGGTGCGTTTGGAACGCGACCCTCTGCTGTTCACAAGGGCTGACCTGACCCCACGCTCCACGGTATGGAACATTTAATTCAGGAAAGCATGGGAAATCCAGGCTTGGTGTCACTTGCCTGTAATTCCAGCACTCCCGAGAGGCCAAAGTAGGACGATCAACACCAGTCCCAAGCTACCCTCAGACATATAGGGAGTTCAAGGCCCGCCTGGACCCTGTCTCAAAAAATCAAAAACAAAACAGAAAAGTATAGGCACTTCTGGACCTGGTAGGGTGCGGTTCCTTAGCCCGAGAGATTTTGGATACTTAGGGCAGAAAGAGTGGCTCTGGTTTCATAGGACTTGAGGGGGGAAACCGATGCTCCTGGCTGGATGAAGAAGAGAGCGGTGGGAGCACAGAGCCAGGAGTATTAGGGGGCGAATCACCTCCCCTTCCGCCTCACACACCACACCAACCGCTCACTCCCGAGCCCGCACCAAGTTTTGCTCCAGGAAAAGCGCGGCCATTGTGTTGGGAAAGCGTTTCCTAAAATATCGAATCAAACCAAATTAGATTTTCAACCGCAAGGAAAGCAAATGAACTCAACAAAAAAGCCACTTTGACTTTTCACTTTTCTGGTGTGTGCTGGCCCTGAAGAGAGGCGGAGGGCGCTGCACAGGGTTTAGGAGAGGGCACAGAGGCAGTCCTGGCTCTTGCCCCGTCTCGGGAAACTTCCCAGCTGAGCCGTGCGCTAGCGCAGAGAGGGATACCCAGCGCACAAAGACCAGGGTACAAGAGCCTGGTGCCGCTGCCCATGGCAGCGGGTCCCACGAGCTTGCGGTCGCTTCCGCCCCAGCAGCCCGCATGGTGCTGTCCTACTAAACTACCACGTCCAAGAGTCACACATGGAGGCGGACACTGTCCCCACGGCCAGGTGATTGCAGGGCTGCCTTCCTACACGCTCAACGTGAAGCAGTCCCCCGCCACGGCTGAGACGCGTTCACCGCAGGGGCGCGCAGGTCCCACTCGGACGCTCGGCCCCGACGCCTGAGAATCCGCCGCTGGCGGCAAAGCGTCGGTGACCTGGGTAAGGAAACCTATCCCCAAGCAGAGCAAGACCTGCAGAGAGCCACTTCCCTGCCCCTGGAGACGCACAGCCGAGGTGCTCCTGGGCTCCAGGGGCCTAGGCGCCTCCCGCCTCCAGCGAACCGTCGGGCGGCGGAGAGTGCTAGAACTGGCGCTGTGCGCACCGTCGCCGGGGAAGGCGGCGGAGCGCAGGGTGCAGTGTGGGAGGGAGCGGCCCTGGGGGCTGCCGCGGGAAGCCCACTCACCCTGGTTGCGGATGGCGGGCTGGCTCTCCAGGCAGCTGGGCAAGTACGGCGCGTTGGGGAACATCCGGGCCTGGCCCGAAGACGCCTGGGCGGGCGGCGGGGGCCCGAAGGGTCCGTAGCGGCAGGCCCCGGCGGTGCCGGTGAACTGGCCAGAGAAGTGCACGGTGAAGGCGCTCAGACACTGCTCCTCGTGCGCCTCGGCGCCGCCCCAGCTCGGCTCCTGCTTGATGAACGAATGCGGCGGTGGCGGCGGCGGGGCGGGCGGCGGCGCGGGGCCGCCCAGGGAGCCGTAGGCCGGGGCACCCGGGGGCGCGAAGTCCAACACCGGCGCCCACTGCGCAGCGCCGCTCACGGGCAGCGAGCAGCCGCCGCCGCCCGCCAGCGAGGGCACCGCGGGCAGCAGTGCGTTCAGGTCCCGCACGTCCGAGCCCATGGGTACCGTTCGCCGTTCCTGGCTAGGGACGACGGGCGCCCCACGCGACAGCGCCTGCCTGGGCCCCGACGCCGCCTTGGCCGCGGGCTCGGAGCAGGCGCGCACGTGGAGCCTGAGCCGCGGGAAAGCGCGGGACCCGGACTCGCCGCGCCCGGGCTGCGAGCGAGGGGGGGGGGCGAGCTGCAGAGCCGCGGGCGTGGGCGCTGCCTTGAACTCCTTACCCCGGCTGCCTGGCTGCCCCCAGCTTCCCAAAGCTCAAATACGAGGGGCCGGCGCCGGGGGGAGGAGGAGGAGCCAGCGGGCCGGGCCGGGCCGCGCCATTCACACTGCGCCCGGAGGGCGGGCGAGGCGCTAGGCTTCTAGGGCGCCCTCGGCGGGGGCGGGGTGGGGGCGGAACCCCAAGACCCCCACAGTCACCTCCCTCCCTCCTGGCCTCCTCCTCTCCAGCCGCGGCGCTCCCTCTGCCTCCCCTCCAGCCTGCCTGCGATAGGGGCTCGCGGCCTGGCTGTCCCTCGGGTGAGCCAAGGGTCCCCTCAGCACCGGGGCGGCGGGACAATGGCGGGGGCAGCGGATCTGGTGGGAGGGTTGGAGCGGGGAGGGCTGCAGGGAGGGATGGAGGGCGGAACTTAGGAGCGCACCAGAGCTCTCGGTCCCGGAGAGGACTCCTCGGCTTCTCGCCTTCTTCCCGAGATTCTGGGGAGGGGTCAGTCCCAGAGATCGAGATCCGAGGCAAAGACGCCCTGGGTTGGGGCCCTTCTAGGCTTCACCGACCACCTGGTGGTCAGTTCCGGTGTGAGGAGGGCTGCGGCCGGCCGGAGGAGCATCTACTACGGTCAAGCCGGGATGCTGCGGCTAGCGGAGAGAAGTTGGGCCGCCCCGGGCCAGTGTCGGCGCTGTGCGGCGCCTGGCGGCCCCCTGTTGGGGAGGAGAGGAAACCGGTAGGCTCCTGGGCGTAGGCGGGCAGATGGGGCGCCTGGAGCCCTCCGCTCGAGCCGGAGGTTCGGCCCTGGGTCCATTTTCAGGCCAGGAGGCTCGAGCCAGGCTGGCCACCGGGTGGGGACTGGAGCCTCTCCCTCCTGCGAGGCAGCGTGCGCCCTTGGGAATGCGGAGCGTGTAGCTTCGACGAAACAGACTCCAGCTGGTAGTTCCTTCGAGTCCCGCGCCAGGCGGGGTTAGGGTTACTTTTATTGTGGTTTTTGGTTTCTGTAACGCGCGTTTCTACGGCTCGTGGAAACGCCCCGAGCTCCGGGAGGCGTCGGCGACGGCACAGCCTGGGACGGCCAGGAGCGGGAGGGAAGCCGGGCGCTCCGGCCAGCAGCGGCCGGCTGGGAGGAGCTCGGTCCCCGCTCAGCCTGCGGCGCTGAATCGCGATAGTCGCAGTTTTGCGAAGAAACTGAGCGTCCCCGCGGCCTTGATTTACCGCTTTGGTTTTCACTCCCGTGCTGTCTCTGTTGCCGCTACTAAGTTCTGGCTGTGGAACGGAGACTTTCGGCTCCGGAGATTCAGGCCGAAGGCAACGCCCTCCTCAGCTTACGGTGCGCGCCGGAGGCGCTGGAGACGCGGAGGACCCAGGCTGGAGACGAAGCTGCGCGAGACCCGTGGTCCTCCTTCCTGCGCCGCTCTCGAGCTCCGCTGTGCGCACTTTCCTTTCATCTTTTTCCATTTAAGAAAGGAAGGGTTCCTAACTGTTTCGCTTCGCAAACACAAACACACTCTTAGAAAAAAAGGCGTGCAAGCCCTCGCTGGAGCCCAGATCCTGCGGTGAGGCGGCTGACAGAGGCGCGCACTGGAGCCTCATTGGACTCTTGGGCCCTAAGAGGGGACCTCGCTCAGGCCTGGTGGACCCTGGAGCGCCCCAAATCCCTTCCCCTCCCTCCCTCCTCCCCACCTTTAATTTCAACTTGGAATTCGTTATTTTTGTTTTTTTGGTTTTTTTGTTTTTTCTTAGCTAGAACTCAAGCACTGTGCTCCAGGAGAGCCTAGAATGCAAAAGCGGAGTTGCAAAGCCGAGACAGGTTGTTTGCATTCTCTACTTCGCAAGTTTTTGGGGGACAGGACAGTAATCCAGAGAGAGGATCTAACCCCAAGCTGGGTTACACCAAGTCTCTGCCCCACATTTAAAAAATAATAATAATAATAATAATAATAATAATAATAATAAGGTTTTGCCGGTGGTGGAGGGTGAGAGTAGTCTGGGTGTTGGAGAGGCGCAGGAAACAGCCATGGACCCCAAACCCTGGCGTTGGTTTTCTTGGGGTCTCTGAGAGTGGCAGAGAAAGTGCAGCTCCCTTTTGCCCCCAGGGTGCCTCGGCCTCTGTTCTTCAGCGCCCTCAGCGAAATGAGTGCCTCCTTCTTTCTCCCTGGGGTCCTTAACTTCTCACCCCTGCGGAGGCCGCCATCCTCCCCCTCCTGCGCAGGGCAGAGGACTCCTACCCACGAGGGTCCCTAGCTCTTCTCCCGCCCTGTGGCCCCGGGAGGTGGACTTGGGCACCCGGATCTCTTGAGTCATCCCCATGCAGGTTTGGAGCTACAGCTCCTTGCTCTAAAAAGAAGGAACCCAGACCCAGACCAGGCGGGGAAAGGGGGTGGGCACTAGTGGCCTGGACTGGGCTCAGCTCCGTGGCCACCTTCAGCGGGGCGGCCCTTGCCCCTTGCTTTCCCCAATCTAAAGTGGGAAACCCGCAGGGAAGTAGCACTCGCCTTACGGGCTAGAGCAGGTGTTGGGCTTTAACTGTGGCACACGGTGATTTTCACTACCTGCCTTGCCCAAGCACAGCAGCAAAGTCCTAGTGGCAAAGCTGAGTCCCTGCCTCCTCCCGTGACGGCCCTGGCCCCAATCCTGCCTCTTCCAGGCTCGGGAACAGGGCGGAAAGCAGGGAGCTCAGCCACCGGCATAGCTTTCATATTGTGTTAGGTGTGTCAGTGAGGACCCCTCCCCGTTTCGTCCCACTATTCTGCACCAGGCCAAGCGCAGTCCCAGCCGTAGCCACGGCTCAGCACCCCACTCCCTGTTGGTCCAGGCGCCCACTGCCAGAGACCCTGTGTGAATAGGCAGCCTGCACTGTGTGCTTGGAGGCACAGGGCGAGGAAGCGGCCATGCCAGGGACCCTGCTCCTCAGCAGTGCAAGAATCTCGCCAGAAATCTCAAAATCAGATTTTAAAAATAAGGAAGGGATTGGCAACCAGCTCCCTCTCCAGCCCCTCTCTTCCTTTAAGTCGCCTCCATCTTTTTGACCAGAGTCCCACACAGTGGTCCCCTGTGACAGACCCTGGACCTGGGCAGAGCCCTTGAGCACCCAGGGGTGTGCAGTGCGAACCCCTCTCCCGTCTGGAGCCCGGGGTTACTCTGTCCCCAAGTGCCCAGAGTCCCCACTGAAAGGATTCCACAGAGCTGCCTCTATTAGTGTACCGTAAATCTTTTTAAATTCTGGAACTAATTATATAGAGGATATGTCTCAATTTGTTCTGCATTAATGCCGCGGTGGGGATGGAGGCCAGGCCGTGGCTGTTCGGATACGTGGGCCCGTGAAATTGATGAACTGAGAGCTGCTTCCAGTCCTGTGCACACCATCTGGAATTCCAGTCTGAGGTTACGATTAGAACTTCTGACCCCAGATTCAACTTTGAAACAAGGGGAAATGGGGGAAAGAAAAAAAAGAAAACAATTTATTCTGCACCTGTAAAAAAAAATCTGTACACAATCTTAAAAACTGTCGATCTTAGCAAATTCTTTCCAAGTGTTTCTTTTGTGTTTTTAACCTATAAAAGATGATGGAGTGTATTTTTTAGACTTCAGTTTTATCTTGTCCCCTTTCCCAACTGTGCTTGGCTTAACAGCTGTTGGTTTGCCCTTAGATTTGGATTTAATTGTACAGGACCAAAATATTTCCCAGTAGATTAGCTTGCTAAATATGCCACTTGTGATTCCCCCTTGAGAACCAGATTAATCACAGCTATCTACCTGCATTGGGAACCTTTCTTCCCCCACCCCACTGCCGCTTATCTTACCCAATGTAATGAGAGGTTTTATTTGGGCCAATTTTTCCTTTTTTCTTTAGCAACTTGCTCCTTTATTTTCCCCTCACTTTGACTCCCTGAAGCAACGAAGAACCAGACAGCTCTGGAGAATCTGTAAAATTTATTAGCATAGAGGCTTAGACAAAGGGGGGTATAAATCACTCTGACGGATTAAGCTATAAAGCATCCCAATGAAGTCAGCCCCTTGCCAGGGTCTTGGTGTATAAATGTTCATATAAAACAAGGTATCCCATTATCTTCCAGGCCTTGTGTCTAAGGGTGCCCAAATGCTGCACTGGGACCTGGCTGTGCGGGTAGAAGGGACCTTGTTTAAAGCCAAGCAGCACCCTTCCGGTGGCTCCCAATGTATGGCCCGAGGGCAACATCTCCACAGTTGGCTTTTGAAGTCTTCAGTAAAAAAGAAAATTACGTATGGTGTTTGCGATGGACAACAAAAGCTTAATGGGAAAAAAGAAGGCAAAAGCCGATGTTTCCTGTAGAGTCCCACCCCAGGTCAGTTTGGCTTCACAGAGATCCAGTCCCAAGGGGCGGGGCGGATGAATGTCGGGGTCCCTCCAGGAGCACCTGGCCCTGGCAGTGCAGTGCCTGCTGGGAAGGAAGGATGCTGCCGCGGTGCCCAGGCGCTGGGCGGGGAGAGCTGGGAAGGGGAGTGGAGGAGGCTCCTGGAGGGGTTTCCACCCAGATGCAAGCTCAGGGAGTGCTCAGGACAGGGCTCGCCCAAGTCTTGGGCTAGAGGGCATCCCTTGTCTTTGAGAAATAATTGTTCTCAGGTTTTTGTAAAAACTCAAGTTATCACTAGGGAAAAGAAGGACCCCGCTCTGTCCCTTGCTACTTCTAACAAAATCAACTCTTCCACCAGGCAGGCAGGCTGGGGTCACCTCTGGGGGCCAGCACTGCAGCAGCTGGGACACAGGGCTCACCCTCTCCCGGAGAGCAGTGCAGTACTGCGTTACTGAGGCCGGTGCTGGGCTGCGGGGTGGCCGGGTCGTCTCTGGGCCTCATGGAAGCATCAGGGTGGCCGTCTAGATAAAACTGGGTCAAATCACCACCACCATGACTCAGTGGCTCTCGAAGTGACTGGGAAGCCCAAATTCTCTTCTGTTGTGAGCAGTAGGTGAGAGCTGACCTGAAACTGCCTTAGCTGGAAGGAAGCCTGGAGGGCTGGCCGCTGCAGTGCAGAGGGAAGAATCCTGGGCTAGGTATAAAACCTGGGTGGGGCCCCACCTGGGAAGGAGCAGAAG